ATCTTACCCTCACATCCTCGGCCGGTACAGGGGCTGGAGCCAACAAAGGAAGTAGCTCCTCAGCATAACTCCGCCGAAGGATTACATAGGACCGCCAGAAGGAATCAGGCTCCTCAGCCATGCTCGACAACTCTCTCTCGTCGAACATGTGACGTGGTGGAGGAGCAGGAACAACAAAAATATCGGAAGAGTGCTGTCTAGCAACTCTTTCTCCTAAGTACGCAACCGCTCCGTAGGTTCCCAGAAAGTAGCGGCGCTCAGCAGAGTACTGTGCGGCTAATCCAGGGACTGTCCAACCACCCCATGGTCGGTATACTACCTCAGGTCCCTATAAAAATACCAATCGGGTAAGAACATGTCTAAAACGTCGCAGAAGAGCAAGATAAACACTAAAAGTCGTACCGAGATGATCCGAATTCGGACGCGTGCAGTAGACAGGTCCGCATGGTGGCCGCCCCAAGAGAAGCTCACCGGATACCCCCTCGGCGACGGTCTCGCCGGCGCAATGGAAGGAAAGTACTCATAGAACCAGATCTACAAAAAAAAGCTAAAGCATGAGTAAATGCTGCCTAACATATAGGGCTAAACTTTATAGGGAATAATGTTTACCTCTACGACTTTCCAGAAAGCAGACAGAGCAACGTTCGTCCTAAAGGACCGATGGCAACACGAGTCCCTCTGTGCGCGAACAAAGTCAGTGTAGGCCAAGCTGGCCCAATCATAAGTCCCGATCCGCTGGAGATCGCGAACAGTAGGGAGGTAGTAAAGCAATGCCCTACTACCCCTGTCAGGAGAGAGTGTCCCTGACAACAACATCAGCACAAAGATGCGCACCCGCTGCTCTCGGGTGGTCGCATCATCGTCAAGAGCCGCTGCCAGCGTCGAGCGGCGAATCCCTCTAGCACTGAACTGAGTCGTCTCGACCTCAGATCGAGCCCGAACAGCAATCGACCCCAACAGCTCCTCGACCTCTGGAGAAAAGACGTCAATACCGCCGTCGAATGGCAGCGGCACAGAAGAGAACTCCAGTCCTGTGATGAGACTGAAGTCTGTAGGAGTGACCATCATCTCACCCCATGGAAAATGAAAAGTGTTGGTGGTATCCCAGAAGAACTCCACCAGAGCGCGACTACGTGGTGACCCCCGCTGGAGGCAACCATAGCCTCGGAGATCTCGAACAAGGCAACCAGTCCGCAAGACTCCCATAGGAGTCTCGTCTCTCGATCTCTGGAGATATGCATCCTATAAAAATCGCCTAGACCATCACAGCCAGAGCCGTGATGTCGTGTCCTCCCAGGCTCGGTTCCACGTCTCACCCTCTTAGAAATGTGGTGGACAGGGGCAAAGAACAAGGTCTGCTCATCCCACTCTGGGAACTGATCAAGCGAAGTGGACGGTGTAGTGTCGTCTTCCACGGGCTCATGCTCTCGTCTAGTGTTTCGGGACCGTGAACCTGAGCCTCGTTGTTTAGACATGCTACATTGTGCAAAATCATCATAAATTAAGGTTCTATAGTATCTAAAGGTTCGTCTAGCCGCATGATACTATGTTCGCAAAAAATAGAGTACGTAGTACTAAAACAGAGCACAAATTCAAATTGAGCATGACAACATTTTTTCAAGCAATCAAACAATTTCTTGCAACACTATAGTGATTATTGTGACAAATTGAATAAGAATTGCTAGCAAAAACATCAAGAACGGGTCACATTGTACTTCACGACCTTAAGAGGTCCAACAATGGCGGATTGCTCATTTCTTCACCAAATTGAGTCAAACAAGTCTCAAATTACTCCCAAGGCAACATAAAAACATAAACAAGCAATTTCATGGCATAAAACTTGATAAACAAAGCAAATTAAGCATTATAAGTTTCGAATTTTCATGAAATTTGTGAATGAACATGCCAAGAATTCATAAAAACCGGTGTGAGTTGGAGGAAAACTTACATAGATTAGGAATATGGATGAGAAGAGCTTTGATTTGCAACAAATTTGAGCAAATTCGGTTGAGAAATGAGTGAGCAACGATCAATTGAAGTTTTCGGACTTCTCTCGGGCTGTTTCGTGATGAACAGAGCAAGAAATAAAACGAAAAATTGAATTTAAAGAAGAATCCGTGCTGACGCCAGTCCCTAGGCATTGGCGTCAAATTCTGTGCTTGGCGCTAGACGATTATGCCAGCGTATGGCGCTAATGCTATAGGACTGGCGCTGATTGATTTTCAGCGACGCCAAAGCAGCCAGCCACCTGTTGGGGTTGTGCTAGCTTTCTGCAACATATTTTGGGTTCCTTGGTACGCCAGTTAGCCTCTCTAAGCAATTTTACATGATTAGGTTATCGGCTTGATTACATAAAGTGATCGACCTGATGAAAAGATTGTCTCACTAAGCTTAAAACGCCTAAGCATTGGCTCATTAGCAAAAAGTACCAACATATAGGTTCAAGAGCAAAGGGCACCGACACACAGGTTCAAGAGCAAAAGAGCGCCGACATACAGGCATAGCACGAGCAAAGTTCAGGCGAACTTTTAAAGATCGACAGGCGTGGATCTTCGGTATTTTCCTTTGGAAAATTATCGCATCAAATGAGGATGACTTCAAGAGAAGATGTCTTCGGTATCATTCCCTAGCTTGCGGAAAGTTGTCACAAACAACTGAAGGTAATTTCAGGGCGAAATTGTCTTCGATCATAGTTCCTGAGGCATGGAAGATGATCATAATACGGATGAGAATTATTTCAAGAGAAATAATTTTCGATGATATTCCCTTGGACGTGGAATATTATCACAGCGGAGAAGGTAGTTTCAGGCGAAGCAATCTTCTAATGTGGAAGCAGTTACAAGGCGTAGCGGTTTTCAGGCGGGATGGCATTCTCTAGCTTGCAGGAGGTCGTCAAAACAACAAAATACGGCAAATCGGTTACTTTCAGAGACGTGTGCTCGACGGTGCAAGATACGCGTTTCTTAACTCTTTTATCTGTTTAAATCATACTAGTTTTTCAGGTATCGGTGTTATAAGATTGATTTAGGATCGCAGAACGTTCTGAATCATTCTCCGTCCCTATCGATACTTAGGCTTTCGTTTTCGAAACTTGCGTTTCTCCAAACTCAGTCAAAGTGGGGGCTTCTGTAGACACCCATTTGTGTCTCCCCAAAACCAAACCCAGTGATGAGTTCCTTTCACGTCGAATCATAATCGAATGAAACGAAAGTGTGGAAAGGTCTAGTGTTGCGGAAAGTTTTATTTCTTTTCTTTTCTGTTTTTGAAATTTTTTTTTTAAGAAAACATCCAATCCAGTTTGGTTGGTCCATGATATGGGTCAAATAGTGGTCTATTAGGATAGGGCTTGCAAAGACCTTTCCAACGATATGTTATAAGCCCAATTCCGATGAATATTGAGGAATTTATGGCCAATTTACTAAACTGGGCCCGGTTTGAGCTTTAAGTACGGCCCAATGATCTAGGGGAGGGCCTAATATGATTTATCATTCCTAATGCAATTAGGAATGATTTTAGTTCTCTAGAACATTCTAGAAGGGTTTTATCATTCTTAATTCAATTAGGATTCTCCAGTACGGGAAATTTATCAGATTTTCGAAAACGCGTTGAAAGCCGATTTGGCGTCCAACCCCAGGCCTTGGCGCCTGGAATTAGGATTGGCGCCAGACGCCACCCATTGGCAGCTGGCGCTAGCCACTGGTCTTGGCGCCAATGAGCCAGGGCTGGCGACAAGGTGATTTTGTGGTCTTCAGACTCTATTTTGATAAATTATCTTTTTTGGATGATTTTCTCTATAAATATCGTATTCAAAACTCCGTTTTCATTCACCAATGATCAATATTCATTGACCAATAATCAATTCTCTTCTTCATTCATCAACTCTTTTCATTAACAAATCGTTCATCAATTCTATTCATCATCTTCATCTCTTTCATCAATAATTCTTAACATTAATTCTTTAGCATTCTTTCTTTTTTATAACTTTGGCTTTAATACAGAATTACGCATTCGCAAGATCTAGAAACACCTAGCCATATTCGAAGTTGCCTTCGCCCTAGACGTGAAAGGTTTTAATTTATGAGGGTTTGGTCCCAAATCCCTATTTCAATTATTTAATTTAATTGTTTTGATTATTATTTTCCTTGAAGTTACTAACGCGTGTATTTTGTTACTAGAAAAAGGTACGAGGCATCCAAGTAAGTACTTTAATGGTTTCATTGATATTATGATGTAGAAATCATGTTTAGATTGTTATTTTGATTCCTAGTATCATGTCTAGGGTAACTTTAATATCAAGTATGATTAAAAGTATGATGCTTCCTATATTGTCCCTAATATTTATTATTATTATGATTATGATTATTGTTGATTGATTATTATGATGCTTGATATTATTTTATATTGTTATTGCTTGATCACCTTTTATTGCATGTTTAAAGGGAATTTGTATTTGCAAACACGCTTAATAAGATAATTAATAATCTTGTTAGGTTAATTGTGATTATAATTCAAGTGATCGCCAATAATAGTTTATTTGTGCATTAATATTCAACCAACATAGATTAAACAGGTTTAGGGTTAATCCTATTGATTGTATGTTAATCAGAAAGCGCACATGAATACGAGCAGAATAAAGTAGAGGCCTATTATTAGGGCAGGTTCAATCTCTTTTAGGTTGGATTTGTACCATCATCCCCGGACCCTTATTTGGTTCATGACCTTATGGAGTTGACGATCTCTTGGATCGTTAAGGGGTGTAACTTTCATCCTATGAACGGTTTACAAGTTCCTTAAAAAATTGTTGGCGACTCTTTTGCTCTATCTTCTTCCCTTTTGGACGCCACCATACTTTAGTGTATGATCACAGTGGGGTTCAAGCTAGTGGGATTTTAAAGGCTTGAAATTATTCCTTACACTTCCCGACCACATTCCCTGCGTGTTATGGTTTTAAGGTCAAGTTCGAACATGGAAACGCTAGATCTAGCGTTTTCATGGTCGAATTTGGCCTTATATAACCAATTTTAAGACCAATTTCAAGACTAACCATGGTTGAATCGTTGTGGTAATTTGTCAAATTTAGCAAAACCCCCAAATTGATTACCCAAACCCTAATTAAACTAATCAATTCAGTTCGTTGTAGGTTAGATTATAGAAATTATAACCTAATTTGCGAAATTTGTGTAATTGAAATCAAATTTGAGAGATGAATTTGAAAGAAGGGAGTAGAAGAATAGGGGAAAGAGAGGGAAAGAGAGGGAAAACGAAATTGTGGATCCCACAATGATATCATCTCAGAAAGTGGTGGGATTTCAAAAACTTTTGGAAAAAACTAGGTGGTAAAATTCAAAAAAAAAAAAAAAAAAAAAAAAAAAAAAAAAAAAAAAAAAACTTGAGGTGGTATTTTCAATTTTGGCAACAATAGATGGTGGTAATTATCAAAATTTCTTTGTTATAATTGTGTTAAAATGAAAATAGTACAAGCTTGAAGTATTTATACAACATATTTAAAAGTCAATATGATATTAAATATAAACTCTAACAAGAATAATAAATTAATAATCATCTCCCATCATCCAAAGGCACCAACTGCACAACTCTACTTTGACTGCTTGAAGAGTAGTTCATACCGTCATTGCCATAGCCATTGTTGAAATCGTGCGCCTCACCGAGCAGATATTCACTCTCCTCTTGGAGTAGCACACTATTGTTTGACAACCATGGATGATTAGTCATACATCTAATCCTTTCTAGCTCTCTTGCAACCTCCTTCATTGTTGGGCGATCCTCTCCTTTAAGTTTCAGGCACCTCCTTGCAAGATTAGCAACTTCCTTAAGCTGCTCCATTGCACTATCACTTACAATTTGTTCATCAAAAATCTCAAATAAACGATCTTCCTTAATTTTCCTAAGAAAGCATACAGCAAGGCTTCTCTCATTTTCAGGCTTAGCATAAGATATGGCCTTCTCTCTAGTTAGTAGCTCGACAAGAACAACACCAAAGCTATAAACATCGCTCTTATCAGTGAGCTCACCAGTTTGCATGTACTCTGGATCAAGATAACCACATGTCCCTTGAACCATAGTCCCTAACTGCTCTTGATCTACCGGAGCTAGCTTAGAAGCTCCAAAATCAGCAACTTTTGCTACGCACTTATCATCCAAGAGTATGTTTGCAGACTTAATATCTCTGTGAATTATCGGTATAGAAATTGTGGTATGCAAATAAGCCAAGACCTCAGCAACTTCTGCTGCAATTCTTAAGCGAACATCCCAAGTAAAAGAATACATTTTTCCTTCATCATGCAAATGATCATGCAATGTACCATTACTAATAAATTCATAAACGAGCAATGGTACCTCCGTCTCCAAGCAACAACCTAAGAGCTTTACCACATTCTTATTATTGATTTGTGACAAGGCAACAACCTCGTTAATGAATTGTTCGACCTGGGTGGAATCAACCTTGATGGACCTTTTGATGGCGACTACTTGATTGTTAGGTAGTATTCCCTTGAAAACCATGCCAAAACCTCCTCGACCAATGATGCTATTTTCACTGTAATTATCAGTCGCCTTCTTTAGTTCTTCATCCGTGAACATCTTTACTGTATTGCCAATTGACACGTCTCGTCCTGAAAGCTTTTGTTGTAGAATATGACCGCCATTTTGGTGAAAGCATTTCTCCCTTAGTTTTTGAATCTTCTTGTTTCCATGTTGCCAATGAAACCAAAAGATAACCAGCAAAGATACAATGATGCCACCAGCAATACCTAATTTAAACAATAATTAAGGCCAAGAGTTAATTAATGTATACGACTTGAAACTTTGTTTTATGTTCCTAGTTGGTGAAAAAACATAAATTGACCTTGGTAAGCCCGTTAACCCCGTTTGTTTTGTCAACTAATTTAACGGCAACTCGGCAATTGGTGATGATTTTTAAACCATAAGATTTTATTAAAAAAAAAAAAAAACCTATTATTTTACAAAGTTGTAGCATCTAATATGAGGTTCCACTGTTCCACTTTAAAACGTATAATAATTAATAACAAATCTATAACTAATACAAAAATAGTAACCACTGACATCATTCTTACTTTCTTAGAACACATGTCATGTTATCATTAAAAATAAATTCATTTTGTGAATTTATTTTATTTTATTAAAATTCTGATCAGCCACATCATCATTAGTATCAAATTTTGAAAAGTGATTTATACTTTTTAACAATAATAATTTGATTTTTTTTTCCCCTTAGGTAACCTTTTCATTCATTCAATTTATCTGTTCTATTTTAAATTAAAAAAAAATAGAAAAAAATTGATGTTTTATTTGTTTTTGAATTTTTTTTATTTTAAATTTTATTTGATCAAATCGTGCCTCGCATGAGACTAATCTAGTTAACAATAAAGAAATTAACCGTACAATTATTGTTTTGGAATTTATTAATATAAAGACTCATGTATACCGTACAATTATCGTTTTGGAATATGTTGAAATTAACAGGTTTCAAATTAATACCGTACAGTGAAAGTAGGGACCAATACCGTAAAGATGGAAAAGATACTGGTTTTGTCTAAAATTACCTTTTTAATATTCCTGAGCAAATAATACAAAATTTAATCCGTATTATTTACATAAAGTCTATCTTTCACTTTTTAAGTCCATCGCAGTGATTAAATTTTTTTTTTTTTTGACAGGAGCAGTGATTAATAAATAAAACTGATAGAGTATATAAATAATTCCCGGTTACTACCATCAGTCCATTAAATTAGGTTTTTGGTTGAATTCTAAAATCGGTTTATATATTCTACTAAAAACATAACTAAAACGTAATATTAATAAAATGGTCAGTGTAACAACTTTGTTAATTGGTGTTCAAATTGGCAATATACTTTAATAATAGTAAAGAAAAATAATAGGTGGACAAAGAAGACATAGAAAATTTAACTCACCAATGATTATTCTTATTGCCAGTAATAGTTTCTTCCTGCTTGCTGAATCGGTATCAATGAGAGTACACGGATTCTCCTTTGTACCCTTGCCATAATAGCCCTTTGGACATGTACAAGTATAATTTCCAGGAACATTAACACAATACTCTTGTTTTTCACATGAATTCAAGCTATTATTCGCGCATTCATCGATATCTGGATGTAATAAGCCCATCAAAGAATTAGCTACAACAATATGATTTTCTATAAATATACAAACAAAATTGAGTGTCACTGATAGAGTATATAAATCGATCACAGGCTCTAACGGACTTTGATAGTATGTTAAAAGACCAACTCAACCAAAAGCTTATTAATGTGATGGTTGAATTTCGTGATCGATTTGTATACTCAAATTAGTTACTAAAAGTGAGAGTGTGATTAGTTGGATTACCTTGACAATCATGAAGGTAGGGGTTACCCTCGAAACCGAGGTTACACTTGCAGTGGTATCCCCATTGACCAGAAGTGGCGTCGAAGCAGGTACTATTTCCTTTGCATAGGCAATTCTTTGCTGCTAGCGCGGTTTTGCAATCTTCTGTTCCAATTGACCAATTATATACCATGGGTGTACTTAGAGTATCTAAATACGCGGCATCTTGTATTAGTATAGAGTCAAAAGAGAAGGGTGTTCCCTTCTCTTCTACATAATCTTTAGCCACCACAAATGCAATACTGCAAGGGTTGAAGTCTTGCACATCCTTATGGTTATAGAGACTCCCAACGCCTAGCGTTATGTTGGTTATCCCATTTGGAATAGATGCTAGGCAACAACCAATTCCGGAACACTCATTGCTTACATCTGTTTGATTCGTGCACCCGGTCACACACCCGGTTTGAAACAAGTTGGTACTTTCCATCCGTGTACCAGAGAAGAGTGTCAATGTGTCGCAACCAATTGCACCAGCAATGTTTCGGGTTGTTGAAAGTGAAAATCTTGTTATACTAATCCAAGATGTAAAATTACGAGTTTCTATACCATTTTTATCGTAACAACTATATGAAATGTAGTTACGTACTCGAAATTCACCATTTAGAGAGATCTTCTCAATCTCTATACTACCATACGTCGGAACCACCGGGATATTACTAGTGTTGCAAGTGATATCGTAGTAGAAGCCGTCTTCGGGATGATCGTAGTGGCACTTATCACCTATACCGAAAGGATAGGGGATCGTAACGTTGCCGCATTTTTCAGGACAACCAGGAAGGGCTATTTGGGAGTTTGTTAGAGGCAATATTGCTAAAACTATGGTAGCAAAAATAGTTAGCAAAGTATGGTGACGCCAACCAAAATCTGCTTTCAACATTTTTGTGCTTATTTTTGGTTAACAAATTATGTGAAAGTGTACTAGTTAATGAATAACAAGACTACAAGAGCAATGAATTGAATGTGTTGCTGAGTCAAGGTCTTCTCTGAAAAAATGAAAAGTAATACAAGTAGCCAAAACAATATATAAATAAAATTAAAAAACCAAGGTTTTGTCAAGTTAGGCAAATTGTTGGTTTTGATTATTGCCGAGATAAAGTTGTTGAAATTTGTTTTTATTAGTTTCTTTTAGGGAATTTTCCTCGATATGACTATAAAATAAACTCAATCAGGATGTTTAAAGTTGCATTAAAAATATTTCCAACCAAAACATACTCTTAATTTTTTTTTACGAGTACTTATTAAAAATCTATCAATTGGATAATAAATTTTTTTTTTCTTTTTTTGAGGAAATCAACTGGATGATTCAATTTGTATTTCAACAACTAAAGTCATAATTTAAAAAAAAATTGAAAATTAAAAAAAAAAAATCATAATTCGTAAGGCGATTTACTCAGGACTTTAAAGTCTTTTTTTTCTCCCTTGTCATTACTCTATAATAAATAAATAAAAACAATTGTAAGGCTGCTAACTAGCTGCCATTGTGGACCAACAGACTCGTATGGTTTGGCAAAGATTAATAAAAAATAAATTTTAAAAAAATAATAGTCTAGTTCTAGACTTCTAGTAGCACAAATTCTTGGCCTCAAGTAGTAGAGAACTAGAGACCAAGTTGGTCTCCAATAAGGTCTTATATGTAAGTACCAACGAGATATGTAGCCAATATCATCCTTAGTTGTATATATCGATATACCATCTACAACACGTTGGTGTCACCATAGTATTGCGGTTGAATTGGTATCATATTTAACAAATGTTGTTGTTGTTATAAGTTGATTTATTATTGGTATCCTAACTAGAGTTTTGTTTGTATCTAGCTACGTTCGATTTGTATCCGAGCCATACGGTTAAGAGTTAAACTAAGTAGTTAATAATTAAGCAAAACTGGACAATACTAGGCTCTCTACTGAGTGTAAAAAACCAGATTTTAAGCATTATTATCATATTCCTGAAAATACTAGTAATTTTTGCCCAGTCCTTAATTATATAGTTGATCAAATTGGTGAATTAAGATTGGAAGTTTATAACATACATGCTCGTTGTATTAGTATCGAAAATAAGATATCAATAACCACAACCGATATTAATAAAAAAAAGTAAGCGGTCTAAAAGAACAACTTAAACAAGTTCAACTTGCTTTAACAAACGAAGTTAAGCATCAATTTGGAAAAGAAGTATCACCTAATAAAGAGAAAATTGTCCCATATAAATATAAGGTTTTTTTAGATTTTAACACCTGCTAAAAACCCGAAAATGGTTTTTAACACCTCCAAAAAAAAAAAGGGTATTAACACCATACAAATTTCCAAAAAATTGGTATTACAACCACTTAACAGTTTCCGTTAAAAATTCCGTTAAATGTGGTCCACAGTAACACATGTCACTATTTTATTTGTTTAAAAAAAATTAAAAAAATTAAAAACCTAAAACTACCCCACCCACCGCGCCACCACCGCTGTCCCCAAACCCACCCCTGTCGGCGTCCCAGAGAATAGCCCGGCGTCGGCGACCCCACCCCCACCCCCACTCCCCTTTCCTCCACCTACGCACCCCACCCCTTCCCTTTCCCCATTTTGTTTCCCGAAACCACCCTAAATGCCCCATCCCCTTCCCTTAATCGATTCCCTACCACCCCAAACGAAACCCTAAAACCCATTTAGGGTGGTTTCGGGGTGGTGGCTCAGGAAACGAAAATGGGGAAAGGAAGGGGTGGGGTGCATCGGTGGAGGAAAGGGGGGTGGGGGTGAGGTCGTCGGCGCCTGGCGATTCTCTGGGACGCCGAACGCCGGTAGTGGGTGGGTTGGGGGACGATGCTGGTGGCGCGGTGGTGGGGCTGGGGGTAGTTTTAGGTTTTTTTTATTTTTTTTAAATTTTTATTTTTTGTTTTTTAATTTTTTTTTATTAATTTGGCCAATAATAAAGCGACACGTGTCTGTATGGCCCTACTTAACGAATTTGTAAACGGAATCAGTTATGTGATGGTAATACCCAATTTTTTGTAATTTGGATGGTGTTAAAATCAATTTTTTTTTTTTGAGAGGTGATAAGAACCATTTTCGGGTTTTTAGGTAGTGTTAATATCTAAAATAACCTAAATATAAATATCCTTTTCAAAATCTAGATAAAAAAAAAAAAAAAAAAAGTTTACTATATCACTCCCTAAAAGACCTACTAGTAACCAAGAAAAGAATAAAGAAACTAAAAATGAACCCTCATCTTCAGGAGAAAACACTTAATGAATTACAAGCCCTATTTGATAAAGAAGAAGGCCCTAATAAGCTTAACGAAATCATGAACTTAATTTCTGAAAAAGGGATTGCTTCTAATAATGAAATAGAGAAAAATAATTATGTTACTTTAGAGGAAGATTTATATCAACAAAGGGGATTAATGAAGTTGAATGATCTAGACTTTCTACCCATAGAAGTTGTCCAACAAAAGATTGAAAACAAACTAGGTAAAAGAGTAATGGATAATAATGATATTAGAGAAGAAATTATTAATGAAAATATTTATGTAAACAATGTTTTCCAAAGACCTAGGTATCAAGGGGAAGGAAGTTGCACACGACCAAGATACATACCAGAGAAGACTATCCGGTTTAGTGTCAAGGTTATGCCTAATCATATACCTAAACAAGAAGTGGCTCTTGAACAATCTAATATATATATATATATATATATATATATATATATATATATATATATATATATATATATATATATATATATATAAAGGGGAGTTTTTTCCCGAGTTTTTAGAGAGCCACGTAGGATCTAATTTTCTCAGCGCGCCATGTAGGATTATAAATCTTAGTAGTAGCCAATTAAATAAGAGATTATTAATTTCTTTTAGAATTAAATAATTTAAATGTCATGTAAGCAAAATTGGCGAATGAGATTTTTAAGTTTAAATTAATTAAATATTATATATTATCTTTTAATATTAGGAATTTTATATAAATATATAACAAATTTTAGGTTCATAAATACAAAAAAAAAATATTATTTAAAAAAATCAAACAAACCGTGCATTATACGGGTTTCATCTAATAATGTAATAATGACTAAGTAATTTTATAACACTAATCGAGTAATCCTTACAAAGACTTATTAATAACCCCTTAGTATAAAATAAAAGTTTTATCCTTTTACCTTTAACTATTGTACTCCGTAGAAAAATCTAAATATCAAAGTGATGGGATATATAAAGAAATCAAAGTGTAACGGCAGATGAAAATAAGGAGTCTGCATCATAATTGCTCCCCTTTTCACTCCCCTTTTTTCCGTTACATCCTAATGAGTAAACACTAATAAAAGGGGCTTGCCCTAATCTTCATGATTGACAAAATTTGTCAATCATAATCTCCACCTCAGCTTTTGTGACCCCCACTTGATGAATCAGCAAAATGAAACATCATTTTATTTGACGCCGTAACCGCAATTGGGTTAACCATTGAAAAGCTTCGTACTCTTTCTTGCTCCATTAAAGCTTCATCAACCTCCATTCCACCATTGAAGCTAGCTTCCCCATCTCCACAACCTTTGAAGCTTTCCCGACACCACCATTGATGATTCCCCAAAATCCACCCACCTTCTCCAATCTTAAACGAAAACCCTATGAATAAAGGGTGAAATTAATGGCATGGTCAACCCCTGGTAGGGGTGACCATGTCCTCCATTCAAGCTCCTTCTATTGAATTTGATTTTCGAAGATGGGTCGTTGGTGTAGAAGTGAGGTCGTTGATGGCAAAGAGAGGAGATGAAATATACATGACGGTGGTTGTGATGATGGTTGTGGTTGTGATGGTGGTGGAGTGCTTTCACGTTTGACATCGATCGCCGATTGAGCTCTTCTCTTGGAAGTTACCTCCATTCTTCTCTTGGAAGTTACCTCCATTGTTGAGAGATTGAGAAGAGTGAGGAGAGAGAAAGTTGATAGAAAATGTTATGTTAACGGCGTGAATTGTGTGACTGTGAGCTGGAGTAGTGATATGGCAAGAATGCCAACCGTCAAAGGCAAATTTACTGTACCATCCCTAATTTAATGATGGAAATCTCATTTACACCCTTATGATTGACAATTTTTGTTGATCATGAAGATCAACTAGTATTTCCCCCAAATAAAACATACACCGGGGGCCATAACCAATTAATGTTACCTTAATTGTAATACAATTAATTTGACCCGTCACCAAATTAAAAATATTACTCCAATATCTACACATTCTTTCTTCCGTGATACATCAAATATATCGCACAACCAAATTTCATTCATTTAACCGGTCATTTTAATTTTTGGCTTAAGTATATGACGATCAACACATTTTATTATTTACATATGTGACCCAATATTAATTTTCTAACAAAGTGCACAGCAAAAGTCGCTGATTTTGGAGCTTCTAAGCTAGCTCCGGTAGATCAAGAGCAGTTAGGAACTATGGTACAAGGGACATGTGGTTATCTTGATCCAGAGTACATGCAAACTGGTGAGCTAACTGATAAGAGCGATGTTTATAGCTTTGGTGTTGTTCTTGTAGAGCTACTAACTAGAGAGAAGGCAATATGTTATGCTAAGCCGGAGAATGAGAGATGCCTTGCCGTATTCTTTCTTAGGAAGTTAAGGGAAGATCGTTTGTTTGAAATCCTTGATGAAAATATTGTAAGTGATGGTTCAGTAGAGCAACTCAAGGAAGTTGCTAATCTTGCAAGGAGGTGCCTAAAACTTAAAGGAGAGGATCGGCCAGCAATGAAGGAGGTCGCAAGAGAGCTAGAAAGGATTACAGCAGGCATTGCTACTCATCCATGGTCGTCAAACAACACTGTGTTACTTCAAGAAGAGAGTGAACATCTGCTTGGTGATAAGGCGGATGATTTCAACAATGGCGGCTATGAAAACGACAGCATAAACTACTCTTCGAGCAGCGAAAGCAGAGTTGTGCAGTTGGTACCTTTGGATGATGGGAGATGATCATTATGCTTGACCTACAATCAGTGGCAGATCCAGGATTTTGGGGGAGGGGTAGCACAACCAATAACATACACTGTGACACTAAGTTCAAAATGTGATAAAGCAAATTAGTTAATATAACAGGGAATTACAAAAATACATACTAATGTATGCAATTACATTACAATACTAATTGTATAATCACATCAAGACTAACATTTAAGAATAAACCTTTTTTCCAAAAAAGTAACTAAAGTGTCATTTAACAATCCATCTCCCATGCTATTTCGTAGCTTGCTTTTGATTTGAGTCATTCCGGAAAAAGCCCTTTCAACAGTTGCAATAGCCACGGGAAGAAGCAATACTAATTTCAAGAGCAAGTATACCTTTGAATGATCTAGATGCTTTCTCGTCTCAATTAACTTCATAGATAGCTCATTGAGTTTTTTTAGATTCCAAAATCTCTCATCATTTTGCATGTCATCAATGAAATTTCCAAGCAACTAACTAAACTAAGTCTACCAACAAAGTAATCAACTACATTACTAATAATTTGCTAGCCAAGCAACTCAACAAATCAGCCACTTTAACTCAACAATTGACAACAAATTATTAACAATTGCACAAAATCAACTTATAATTATAACTCATCAAATTACCAATTCATTCAATTGTGCATCTTTCACACATCAAATCAACTCACTAGATAAATTAATTATAATTAAATCACTACCCACAGCCCACTTAGAGTCTTAACTCTAAAACAGTAACAAACTAAGAGGCTAACAAATTCAGAATAGTAGAATACGTCATACATTCATAGACAATACATTATACATAGCAAATTACCAATAAATGATTAGCAATTACCATTTAATAAAGATTAATAGCAAATTAACAATAACTTACAAATTAGCAGTTTGTAACATGACCTGATGTTTGAAAAAGTTTGAGCTACATCTATATACGTAGTATATATTATTATACACAGTTATAAAAATGTATGTTTGTAACATATTAGATGTACTAATATCCCACTATATTTGTTCCTATTACATGGAAACAGATGGAGCATTGGAGCATGATGAATCCCTTGTTTAGCTATGTACTGATTGAATAGTAGAGTTCACAAGCTAAGCTTGTCACTTGTGCTCTTACTTGATTATACAATATAATATAAAGTAATCTAAGCTAGAATCAATAATCTAGCGTCTTAAGCTTATGTATCAAAGCTAGATCAAGATCAGCGTTGCAAGTCTTGCAACTAACATTGTTGGAAAAGGGGATTCATGATGATGAATCTGTTTATTATTATTTTTTTTTTAAAAAAAAGCCTAAGCCAAGAAAAGTATTCAACTTTATTTAATTTATTATTAGGAAAGATAAATGTTTAAATGTTATTTACACCACATAAAGATTGAATATATTAGTTTTGAAAATATTTTATTTCATTTTCTTTCAAAAAAAAAAAAAAAAACTTAAATACCGTGTGTCTAGCCATCATAGAGGCAAATTTGTAACTCGTTAGTGGTATTGGGGCTACTTAGTGGGGTTACTCCGTCAATGCTCTTTGTATTTGAAAATCAATCAATTATATTTTCTCCGTCCCTTAATACAAAGTCTCTTTCTAACATTTATTACTCATATAATAAATAAATAAAAAGGATTTTTAATTTAAGGATATAGGGAGTACACTATAAGAGGTTCCAAATTAATTGAATTTCATCATTAACATCATATCCATGATCATGATTCCAGTAAAAAATTACACAATTATTAAATGATGATATAGGATTAATAAATGATATTTAAAAATTATAATTAAAGCTCTTCTAGAACTTTTTTTTTTTTTTAAAAAAAATATTTGTTTATTAATGTTTGCCAAACAATACGAGTCTGAGTCCACAATGGCAGCTATTTAGCAGCTTTTTTAAAAAAAAAAATATCAGCCTTACACTTATTGTATTTATTTATTTATTATGGATTAATTAATTTTTGACAAGTCCTAACTCCTAAGTAAATCGCCTAATTAATTGAAATTTTGTTTTTTAAGTAGGAAATACGAATTTAATGATTTTTTTTTTTTGAAAACCGGTTAGTGCTTTATTATATCATAGTAAGAGTACCAACGAGTACATACGAATTTAATAATTTGAATCATGGAATAAATGTTTTTTTTTTTGGGTAATGTTATATGCAACTGTAAGAGCTGCATATAAGCATTTAATATACTTCTTTTTTTAGTATTTAGTTGAAAATTTATCAACAATTTACGAGTAAATTGGTGTAATAAATGTTTAATTATAGTCTATTCTTTTCACTTTTAGCTTCTTATATACATTCCGGGTTGCATATTTTTTTTTTTAACAATTTTTTTTTTTTTTTGAGGAAATGGTTTTAATGCAATTTAAAAACTTCCTCATTGAGTATATTTTAAATAATACTAGAAATTTCCCTATAAGAAATCAATAAAAACAAAGCTCAACAACTTTATCTCGTCGGCTAATAAACAAAACCAAACTTTAGTCAATTTGGCTAACTTGACAAAACCTTGGTTTTTATTTTTTTTTTAATTTTTTTTTTTTTGTCTACTTGTATTATTTTTCAGAAGAGACCTTGACTTCTCTTTTTTTTTTTTTTTTAGAAAGGGAGGAGACCTTGACTTAGTAAACGCTTACATCCAATTCATTGCTCTTGTTATTCATAAATTATTACACTTTCACGTAATTTCCTAACAAAAAAAAATAAGCACAAAAATGTTGAAAGGAGACTTTGGTTGGCGTCACCATACTTTGCTAACTATTGTCACAACTAGGGGTGTCAATTCGGTTAAATAGTTCGGGTTTGGGTTGGGTTTATCAGTTTTGGGTTATAACGGGTCGGTTTATAATGGATTGAAATAATAAGCGGGTCGGTTAGGGTCGGTTTTGAAAATTATCGGGCCAGTTCGGTTTGGTTTTTTTAATTGCAGTTTCTATTCGGATCGGGTTCTTATCGGGTCGGGTTCTAGTCGGTTCGGGTCATAATCAATTTGGGTTGAAGTGGGTCGGTTTGAAAACGTGTTTAGCCCATTTAATGTGGGTTTCGGTTAAAAACAGTTCGGGTCTTAATCAGGACGGGTCGTAATTGGTTCGGGTCATAATCAGTTTGGGTTTAACTGGGTCGGTTCGAAAAAGGGTTTCGGTTCAAAATAGATCGGGTGAAATCGGGTCCAACCATTATTGTTTCGGTTATAATCGGTTTAGATTGAACTTGGTTGGTTTGAAAACGAGTTTACCCAATTTGAAACGGGTTTCTAATCAAAATCATATCGGGTTAAAATTGAGTCGGATGATTATCGAGTCGAATTAGTCAGATAATGGGTAGGAACGAGTCATGTTATAATCAAGTCAAGTCATAAATAAGTTGGGTTTATCGAGTAGTGGGTTGAAATAGATTAGATCATAAACATATTGGGTAACAGGTTGTAAATTACTCAGTCATAACGGGTTACGGGTTTTAAACGGTTTGGTCATAACGGGCTACGGGTCGTAAACGGTTCGGTCACAACGGGTTACGGATTATAACCGGTTCGGTCACAATGGGTTACGGGTTGGAACGATTTAAGTTTATCGGATTTTTATCGGGTTTTAACAGTTTTCGGTTTAAAACGGGTCGGGTTACTATCGGGTTTAAACGTAATCGGTTTGGGTTGCTTTCAGTTTCGGGTTATAACGGTTTGGCTTGATAACGGGTCGGGTTAGTAACGGTTTGCACAAATTCGGTTTAGTTCAGTTTTGGTTTGGAAAAAATTGGGTCGGGTCAGTTTTCGATTTCCAAAAAACGGGTTTCAAACAGTTCAGTTCCTTTTCAGATCGATTCGAAACTGTCGGGTTTAACGGTTCGGGTCAGAAACTGACAGCTCTAGTCACAACCATAGTTTTAGCAATATTGCCTCTAACACAGCAATCTACCGGCGTAGAAGTTGGTTCTGTTACAAAATCCCAAGTAGCCCTTCCTGGTTGTCCTGAAAAATGCGGCAACGTTACGATCCCCTATCCTTTCGGTATAGGTGATAAGTGCCACTACGATCATCCCGAAGACGGCTCCTTCTACGATATCACTTGCAACACTAGTAATATCCCGGTGGTTCCGACTTATGGTAAAAATATAGAGATAGAGAAGATCTCTCTAGATGGTGTGTTTCGAGTACGTAACTACATTTCATAAGTTAGTTATGATGAAAAGAGTGTGGAAACCAGTAATTATACTTCTTGGATTAGTATAACAAGATTTTCTCTTTCAACAACCCGAAACATTGCTGGTGGGTTTATTTTTTCCTTGCTGGTTATCTTTTGGTTTCATTGGCAACATGGAAACAAGAAGATTCAAAAACTAAGGGAGAAATGCTTTCACCAAAATGGCGGTCATATTCTACAACAAAAGCTTTCAGGACGAGACGTGTCAATTGGCAATACAGTAAAGATGTTCACGGATGAAGAACTAAAGAAGGCGACTGATAATTACAGTGAAAATAGCATCATTGGTCGAGGAGGTTTTGGCATGGTTTTCAAGGGAATACTACCTAACAATCAAGTAGTCGCCATCAAAAGGTCCATCAAGGTTGATTCCACCCAGGTCGAACAATTCATTAACGAGGTTGTTGCCTTGTCACAAATCAATAATAAGAATGTGGTAAAGCTCTTAGGTTGTTGCTTGGAGACGGAGGTACCATTGCTCGTTTATGAATTTATTAGTAATGGTACATTGCATGATCATTTGCATGATGAAGGAAAAATGTATTCTTTTACTTGGGATGTTCGCTTAAGAATTGCAGCAGAAGTTGCTGAGGTCTTGGCTTATTTGCATACCACAATTTCTATACCGATAATTCACAGAGATATTAAGTCTGCAAACATACTCTTGGATGATAAGTGCGTAGCAAAAGTTGCTGATTTTGGAGCTTCTAAGCTAGCTCCGGTAGATCAAGAGCAGTTAGGGACTATGGTTCAAGGGACATGTGGTTATCTTGATCCAGAGTACATGCAAACTGGTGAGCTCACTGATAAGAGCGATGTTTATAGCTTTGGTGTTGTTCTTGTCGAGCTACTAACTAGAGAGAAGGCCATATCTTATGCTAAGCCTGAAAATGAGAGAAGCCTTGCTGTATGCTTTCTTAGGAAAATTAAGGAAGATCGTTTATTTGAGATTTTTGATGAACAAATTGTAAGTGATAGTGCAATGGAGCAGCTTAAGGAAGTTGCTAATCTTGCAAGGAGGTGCCTGAAACTTAAGGAAATTGGGGATTTAAATAGCGATCTTAGTGCTTTATGATAGCGCTGGTGTGAAGGCGATGACAATTAGGATGATAAATATCATTTAGAAGAAGAAGGTTAAGAAATGAAAGAATTGATAAGAGATTAAAGATGAGGAAGTATATGAGATGAAAGAGAAGGTTGGAGAATTAAGTTTAGAGGGGATGGGAAACAAGTAGTGGACGGCAGTTAGACTATCACAATAGGGTTTTATTTATTTTATTTTTGATTTTTAAAAAAGGGTTTTAATTTTATTATAGTACAAATTTCTAGTAATAAATATTAAAATATATCTAAGAAACTGGATTTTAATAATAAGTAGTTTCTTATTTTTTTTTAAAAAGAAACCGCACATCTCTTGTTTAAGGTTACTTTTATCTAAGAAACCGGAATTTAATAATGTATGGTTTCTTACTTATATCCTAAGAAACCAGATATCTCTCGTATATGGTTCCTTTATCTAAGAAACCAGATTAGTGATTTGCATGGTGCCTTATGACTGGTTCCGTAGGCCTTTTTTGTAGTAGTGTTAGCTTAACACATGAGTTTGTTTAAGTAATCATCATAACTTAGAAGTCAAAAGTTCTTTTCAAGTGTACCATAAGCATGGTACATGATGTATCATATACATTTCTTTGAACTACAACTTTACATGTCCATTGGTTGTGTTAACTAACTCCTTACTCAAGAAAGACTTGTCAAATACCTCCTTTATCCATATGTTAGAGTGTGTTAAAATGACAAGTTAACAATTTTACAATTTCTTACAAATGAGCAGGCCCGGTTATGGCCCTGTGCAAAGAGACCAACAGCACAGGGCCCCTTAAACTCAAAGGGCCCAATTTTTGGTAGCAGCCCAGTCCTTTACTTTGTCAATTTGTCTGTAGCATACTGTGTAGGATGTTACTGTCGTATACTCACTTCTTGGTATAGTAAAATCTACTACAGTAATTATTTTATCCTATTCATACTTTCCAATTTCCACATGTTCTTCAGTAATGCACTAATGCCTAGGAAGTAGGAAATTCAAGAGTTTCCGGATTTTACTATTTCTTTTACTCCGTACTAACTTTCTTCTCTGTTTTTTTTTCTTTTTAATGGGACATTTCCTAACTCTCTTGTTTTACCCAACTAGTTGAGCCATCGCGCGCGATGCGCGCGATAGCCCAATAAACACGGATTATTTGTGAGCAATGATATTGTTAAATAGATGGGTTGTATTGATATAATTTATTTTGTGTGGAGTAGTAATACGTTTCATCGGATTAAAAAATGTAGGAAGTGATAGCGAAAATTGTAATTGTTATTCTAGTTTGGTTCTTTTTTAGCGTTTAATACGCAAAATTATAATCTGGGTAAGGTAGATTATGGTTTCGATATTAAAATGTCAACAACCTTGTGTTATTTTAATTAAACCGCCTAAATATTAGTTGTGCTAATCGTTTTGTATTTTATCTAAAATTTGTGCGCTTCTTAGCAACAAAATTTTTATATTAAAAAAATCACCAACACACGCGTGTGTAGATATTGCGTATGTAAGAAATGTTATGAATTCCGAATTACTTACAAATTACTTTTTTTGGAATTGTAATTGTACTACATTTATAGAATACACATAAAATATGATCATCTAAGAAGTCCAAAAGTTGTACTTGATCTAAAAAATTTGTAAAGAAGCTGAAAAGTCGGTATTTGTAAGTCATAAGTTCTTTTATTGTTCCTAGATTTTGTCATGGCTGTTAGACTTTCTCTCATTGGTCAGTTGAATTCCTCTTTTGCGTGGTGTATAAATTTTGCTCTGCTATGCTGTCTTGTCTTTCGTTTTTCTGTCTTTCCTTTCTTCTTTTTTTTTTGCTTCATCTTTCCTTTTTCTCTGTGTTTGTGTGCCTGCATTTTACCAATAACAATGGCTAGCACTGATAGCACGGCTACTTCTGGGAAAGTCTTTGCACCTCCAATCTGGAGGCCAAATCAGGCTAGGTCACAGGAGCAGAATGTCGCAAGTTTTCGAGTCTATGTTATGAGTATGGAAATGAAGATGGACAGTCATCTGAAATTGCTAGAACAAGGAATGTCAAAAGCGGCGAGGACTGAAGAAAAAGGAGAACCAAGCAATAAGCGGAAGCGAGGAATTGAGAGGGATGACTGTGGCGAATGGCCGCTGATCATCGTTGAGTCAGACAGTGATGAAGATAAAAAGAAAAGCAAGAAAGGTGGCGAGACAAAAGATCATGGAGGGGAAAGTAAGGAAAAAGTTGAGATCAAGGAAGAAGGTGACAAGAAAGCAGGAGAGGCAGAAGAGGGAGGTGAAGAATCTGAAGAAGACGAAGATGAATCTGAAGAAGATGAGGAGACTGATAAAGATGGGGAAAGTGATGCGGTTTCTGATTCTGAGACTGAGAGGATGGAAAAACTGGTTGCAGACCCAGAGGATGGGGAAAGTGAATCTAGGAGCAATGATGATGGTGATAGTGGGTCGGGCTCTGATTCTGGGAACTGTGTGGAAGGAAATCACGAAACAAGTGAAGACTCTTCGATGTTTCATATGAAAATTTCTGACTAATCGTATACAATCTGCTGGCTAAGTTTTATTTTTGGACGTTTTAGTTGTAGTATTGGTAGGGTATAGACTTAGACTTTCCTAAGTTTGGTTGTTAGTTTCTGGCAGTAAATTATCTTGGTGTATCCTGGCTTTTTTAGGTGTTATAGTGTCTTTTTGGACTGTTAGAAGGAGGGAAATTAGCTGATGGGAAGCCTATGGTGAATGTAATTAGCAAGGGAACATAGTAGGCTGTAATTATTGCAAAATAACCTTTTGCTTTTAGTATAATGGATGACTTAAGTTGGCTATATATCTTGTGTTTTGTATGGCTGATTATTTGGTGTACTACACTCTGAATGCCTATGCTTATATAAACGTAGAGATAATGAGCTCATATGTATGAACTAATGTAAGTACAAAAAGGCGATGCAAAGATTGTTTAAGTTAAGTCTTTTGACAAATGCACGGTTAGCAAACGAAAATAAAGTAATTACTTAAAGTACTTAGTCATAATACTATATATACATAAAAGTTCCATAATAAGTACATGATTGGCAGCTTCAATGCTACATTTTGTTAAGCCCTAGATAGGTGATGTCTGGTTGCGTTACAAAGCATAATCTAGCAACCAGATAGCAAAAGGTAGGTAGACTAATTACAATCTGTGTCAAGCTTGACACATAGAAAAGTAGTGTTACACAGGAACAAACACCTATGAAATGGTTGATTGTCTTTTAAAACTATATAAAAGCAATCAAGCAGCAAAAGATATGTAGTCTAATAGGTGGTTTTAACCATAGCCGATTTTTTTCCTAGTCTATGTGGCTTTATTTAGGAACATGTAATTTAAGAGTACGTGTTCCTTTGAAAAGCCACATTGCTTGTAATACTTACTTTTAGAGCATAATATATACATAGCAAAATATTTAGTAAATGAAGTTGTTACTCAACTGATCTGTCATTCCTTCATTTAAATGTCATCGGAGTCATCATCAGGAAACACAAGTGCTCGACGCTTGCTATCTTTCTCTTGCTTAATAGCCTTGGCTGTTTCAGCAGAGCCAATTGGTGTGTCATAAACAATTCCTTTTCCTTTTAGCGCTGCTTGAATAGCCTGATCTTTTTCTTTTTCCTTGATTAGATCTGCATTCTTGATAGCTGAAGCTGTTTCATGGGCAATAACATCTTTTGCTGGTGTGGTAGGAACAAACTGATCATCAGCATCAACCCTCTTTCTTTTCTGAGCTATATCCTGTGTCTTAGATTCTGCTGCTTTTTGTGCTGCAGCCATCGCTTCTGCTGCTATGCAAGCATCTTCCTCTTCCTGGCTGAAGGTCGATAGATCATATGCAGCAACTGTTTCTTTCTTAATGGTCTTGCTGAGAGGATGTTTGTTCTGAGCTACACATTCATTGTGTTCATAAGACCCAACACCTTCTGCATCAGCTGTTGCAGCTAGATTCTTACTTTCAGAGCATGTAGCTGCATCCGTGGAGCTGCTTCCTGCAGCAATAGGTGTGACTGTGTCTTCTATTTCTACACCCTTTAGACCCCATTGCAGAACGGTGTTCTGTTCTAAAGCAGTTGTAGGGCCAATCTTTATCAAAAAGTATGTAGTTGATAGTCGATCTGCTATCTGTCGAAATTTTGTTGTATCATCCTAAAATATAGATATATTGTTGTTTATTATTATTATTAAAATTTGAATGGAATAAAAGAATATTTACGATTGTTAACTGGCAATGGATCGCGAATCACTTACTGTTGCCTTCATGTGATAGATCTGTTCAGCTGATAGTTCAAAGAGTGGGATGCAGTTTTCAGTAAATGTTGTAAGCTGCAATGCTCCAGTACCATCTGAGAAAGTCATTGTAATAGTCGCCCTGCATAATTTGAAAAATCATTTAGTGTTGGTTTTGAGTGGATATTATGTTCTATGATCTATATTAACTAATGTAAAGAGTTAACGACATTTACCGGTGAGTAGAAAATATTTCTTTCCTGTCACAGGCTATGCAAGTGTAGACTATTCCAAGAGGGTTCTGTGTTCGCTTTCTACAGTAAGAACAACCTATATATGTTCTAAGCCTGTCATATTGAATATCTGATGCTACAACTCTAAGCCAATACACTTCTTGTGGAAGTGTTGTTGTTGCCTACATTGAAAGTATGATGTAAATGTGAGTATTTTAAGCAATATGGCTTTTCAAAGATAGCACATATAAACAATCATGGTCTAGCCTTTAGAGTAGGTGAGAATAAATGTACTAATTTTTGTATCAACAATCATGTGTACCAACAATCATGTGTGACAACAAGCAATATAAAACATGTAAACATTTATTAGAAGCTTAATGCAAGTTCTGTAAGAAGCTAAGCTGTTTTGGTAGCTTATAGCAGCAAACCACTCTCTAACAGAATGAAAGATTCCTATACACATTCTCAAAAGGAAACAAAAAATTTTCATAAGAAACACACGGAATCTACAGATTTTATAAAACTATAGGTAACTATAGAACTGCATGGAAAACTCATCACTATCTATGCTTAAAAAAGGATACTTATCAAAATAAATAAAACAAACAAAACACATGCTTAAATTGCCTTACATTAGCACTAAAAAGAAGCACATATCTTAATCCTACCTTTTTGGTTTTAATGCGCCCTATTGTTGTTAGAGTCCTCTCTGCAGGTGGATTCCAGGCAGCTGTAACTCTATTCTGATGATCACTTAGAGCAACTCGATGTTTTCTTGCCCTGTGAATAAAAATTGTAGTTTACATTAGTCGAAAAGTGTGCAAAATATGTATATTGTGTATGGCTGAAAGTTGAATGTGAATTAGTATACCATTCAGTTAATGCAGCTGCTTTTTCACCTTCAGGGTTTTGAATTATCACAGTAGACATGGTTGATTCAAGTTGAAAACCTTCAAGTTTTAAATGTTAGAAAATATCTATTGTGTGATTGATATA